CTGTTTCATAAACAAAATAAATGGATTAAAATAATACATTACCAATATGCTGACACATGGAGATATTTTAATTAGAAATACTTAAGCTGCGTGATATTTAACTGCTATATTTGTTGAAGAGGAGCATGCATCATTTAATAAGACATAAGGCAGGTACATCACTTAGCATGATGTGGTACCAGAGTGGGACCAAATCACCTCCAGTGTAAGCTATCACTATCAGATCACATTAGCCCCACTGAAAAATTACTTTAAGGTTTCAGCATATAGAGGAAACTCCGTAAGAGCAGCAGTCCACTAAAACAACTTTTTCATTGAAATAATAAGTCACCAAGATTCTAATTCCTGAGAATAATATTTCTTCATAAAAGGCCACATTTAACATCGTAGCTATTTAAAGGCCGTATTTACATGACTGTCGCATTACATTGGCCTCTTTCCTGCACATTCTTCTTGACTTACTTTAAGGACCAGCACTAAAATAGCTGAGGAAAGCAAATGTCAACTATGTCCTGAAATTTATATGTGTGAGAGAATTGGAATAAGTAGAAATGTAATATATTGTTTACTGTACCGAGTGCCCTCTGTTCTCCTAAGGTCAAAAGCATTGTAACCTTAGAGTTACAGTTTCTGATTGTTCCCAGGGTTAAATACATTATCAAAATTAATGGTTCAAACCCCTCAACCTTCAGATATATGAGTATTCATGCCTCCATCTGCTGAACTGTTCAACTAAAAATAGCATTCTTTGGCCTTCCCTCTACTAATATTGTGCCCCTGAGGCAGGCTATGCAATGCTTCAGCAGCGCACTGGATCCACACCCAGCGGTATAAAAAAAAGGTCATTTACTTTGTCTGCAATTAGAAGAGAGTATGGAGGAGTAAGATGAGACGGCAAGGGAGAAAAGAAACAGACAAATATGTGTTTAGTTAAAATTTAAATTTTTTTTAATGGATTCTAAAAACTTCAGGCTTCAAGAACACAGCCATAACTATAGTTAAGACTTGCCAAGGTTCATTAATGTTATAAGCGATAAATTTTGAAGGACAAATTACACAAATAGTTTGGGAAAAGAGTTATGAACGAAAGCTTTTTTATTTTGCCTTTTTTTCCTAGAGTTCACTTTGTTTAGGAATAACTCCAGCTAGCATCATTGTAGTGCTTCCATTTCTATCAACAGTTTATCAGTCGTGGTTGAGAGAGTTGCGACATTTCCTTATTTACCACATAGACTGCTTTGTAGAAATATCTAAGAATGAAGGCAGATTTTTTAAAACAATAAAGACCATACAGTAACATTCCTTATTTGAAAGTAAAGACATACAGGTGCCACCTCTACCACCACTGGGACTTCCCAGTATCTAGGTTACTGCAACCAGAACCATGAGAGCTGAGAAAACCCATTTCATGATCAAGTTCACTCATTTAGCAAGATTACTGGGCACAGATATCTTGAATCAGTTAATAACAGTGCAATCATTTGACAAAATGTTTGTCAGGGAAAAAGATCAGGAAAACGGGAAAGGGGAGAAACTCCACAGAAGGTGGGTATAAAAAAAGAGGAGCAAAGAGAAAATTATTGACAGGTTTTATTGCTCACACTGATTAATTAAAGCGACACGCTCTTATTACACACATGCATCAGAACTGGTTCACACACCACTATGCATACCTGCTACAGGTGTATTTGGTAATATATCTGTAAACTACTTAGCAGAAGGTTGATTTGACGGGATTCACTCACAGTTGTTTGAAGCTGGAGGGGTGAACAGAAATAGCTTGGTCCTTCTTCTTAGACCATACCTAGAGAACTGTTCGCTCATCAGCAAGACCCTGCCTCATGCCGAGAGTCCTAACACACAAGGCTTGGTCCTACCAAACATATTATTTAAATCTTGACCGAGTTGTTGAGGAAACTGGTGAGATGGGGCTGAGCTGATGGGAAGTGTCAATGGGAAGACAGAGTTTTAAATCTTTTTGTCAAAAACATCATCAATGTCATGTGATTGGTATACAGATAAAAAGAAGCTATCTGATGTCACCCCAAAGCAGAACAAGCCACCACTTCAGGAACACGGACTGGCATAAACATGTGGTCATTACTACTTTATTTCAGCATATTCAAAGCTACAACTAAATATTAACAGTATTTTACCACAAGCTGATCAATGTGACACAAAATCTTAAGAGTAGATGGGTCAAACAGGTCTGTTGCCAAAGGAGAACTTAATTTTATTTTTAGTTTTTTTAATGCAAGGCCCATGGGAGTGAAACTAGTTACTTGAGACATTCCTAGATATTATTTCAATAAAGTTTTTTAACTCACGGAGATACATAATCCACTGATGAACAGACGTACAATTCAGAGAAAATCCATTTTGATACCAATGTGCTAAATAGCTTGAACAAGATGGGCAAATCATTAATTACAAATTGTCCACTGATGAAACATCATTTATGACATAATTGCTATTGTTACATGATGTACCTGGGAGTAAATTGTTTTCTGTACTATTAGATTCAGAGCTTCCACAGAAGTTGTCCTAACACATAGAAAGATGAGAATACAAAATTACTGCTAGCTCCTACCTGAAGCCTGATCATCGCAAAAAAAAAAAAAAAAAAGGTGAAAAAGAAGGAGAGATAATAATCTTGAAGATGACAGCATTTCCACTGCAGCTGGATGTGGATTATGGAATATAATTTTGGAATTAATAATAAAGCCCTGGTAAAGTTGAAATGTTAGAGCTACTGCAAAGCTTTTTAAATTGAAACAGCTTTCTCTCCCCAGGTTCTCCAAACATAGATATCACACACACACTCACGTGTAGAAACAAAACCAAACCTGCAAATGAATTAGCTGTTTCTCCCACTGGCAGAAAGGAAGAGAGATTAGCTTTGTGATCAGTATTTTTAAGCACTTGGGAAATACTCAGATACCATGGTCACAGCATTCATGTAAATAAATAAGTGGGTGGGGTACATGGAAGAAAGGAAGCAAAACAGAGAAAGAAGGGGGGAGGGAAGCAAAGATGGAAAAACGAGCTGAAATGCTACACCCCTAACAGTCTTCATGACGCATCAGGTATAACAACAAATTCCCTCCAACAAACACACCCAAATAAATGTTCATTTAGGGAACACTTAGGGAATTTACACAAAGAGAATATTAATAGTAGGAGTAAATAAAATTTAGTTCAGCCAATTTGACAATCAGATGAGCAGGTACCAACTGAAGCTCAAGTACTCTATTACTTAAGCTCTTATGACCCTGAAACATTAAAGGTTTTGAAATCCCATAAAGGTGAAATTCAAATAAAATAGAAAGGGGGTGGAACAAACAAAAAACCTCTTTTACAACACATATATATGAAGGGAAACTCTGGCCCCTCAAGCACTCAAATGTTTCTGAGTTTATTAGCACCACTTTCTTTGCTGGTTGTTTTTTCTCTAATTGTGCTCCTCAAGTTTAACAGCTCAGTCTATCATTTCTGCAAATTAATGAATTTCTGCACTCTTGCTGAAGGTTCTGATCAAGGTTGGTATGCAAACAGATCTGTAGGTCAAGCTACAAATGGACTTTGTAAAAGAAAAGAATCAGGAATGTCTGTGATTCTGATCCTGTTTCTTTTGCAGTTGAATGGTTTTTATCCTTTCCTGCCTTACAGTCTTGTGTAGGCTCACAATTTGTTGTACTGCATGTCAAAGGTAGCAAGAATAGTCTCTCTATTCACAAAGGTGATTTCTGAAGTATTTTCTCAACTAAAGCTAATGAGACTTTTGCTTCAGTAAGTATTCAAATATAGGTTTTCAAAAGGACACCTGCTATTATTTCTTTTGAAGAGCTTCCCTTCGGTTTGAAGCCTGTCCAAGGTACAGTCTTAACACAATACTATCATGACCCAAAAGTATTTTTGGGAGATCTTTCCCTGCAGTGGCAGGGTGTTCTCTTTTCAAGTTTTGACTGTAGGTTAGGTCAGACATAAGCTCAAGGGGTCTTTTTCACCAGTTCTGGACCACTCTGAACAGTGAGTTCTGGTCCCATTCTTACTTATCCTAAATTAACTTGGCAAGAAGAATATCAGCACTGGGTAAACATGAGAAAAAAAAAATAATTGCAGAAGGGTAAGCAAAGTAAATATTTGGATATTAACATGGCAGTACTTTGCTACTATAGGCACAATTTCTTCCTATTTTGCGTCTGAACCCAACTCTAATCTAACTCAAACAGGGGTTTCAAAGGTTTACTTGCAAATAGTTACGTGCATCTTTAATGGCCTTTCCTCTCATGTTCACTGTCACTTCCTTTCTGCACATTTTAACTCTGAAAGCTTTTGACTGTTTCTTCATTATTTATGACATTGTTGTGTCTTTTCTTGTGAAATTAAAAACTTCTTGCCACAAAAAGCTAGCTAATAATATGGCACATAAATCCTTCTCTCACAACATTTCATTATATACATGCCAAAAATAAATAAATGACCAAACCAAGGCTCCTGACTATGCTTGGCATCTGACCAGCTCAATGCACGGAAAGGTTGAGATTACCTAAATACAGAAGCTAAAAGAGTTTGCAATTTATTGTATTGTCAGCACCACACTGTCTGAAAAAAAGAAAAAACCCCAGTAAGACACGTTTGCGTGGATACACTCACTGCTCCAATTAAATGTAGTGCATTGCAGCTACAGGGGAAAGACTAAATGAAAATAAAGCACAAAAAGGTCTTTGAACATATCTCCCATCAACTGGTCATATAATTAAAGAAATACCATTAACTCTGCCGATATAAAATACACAGTACAACGTCTTTCACTCACAGTATCAAAGTTGGCCGCACGTTTCTATGTTTGCAGTACCGTAAGTATATAAGGTGTTAATCCTCCTGGGCTGTGCTCAATAATTATTTAACATTCAGACTATTATTTAGCATACAGCTGGTTAGCAGTTTTCCCCTAAAATGCTGGCTTCAATCCCACATTTTTTTGTTCTGGCACATACCTGGAGCTGTAAAGGGCTGAGTCCAGAAGCAGCAGCAGCTGCCATTGTTGATGGAATGAACTGCACAGGGTAGTTATCACCTGTCGGGAGAACAATGCGTGCAGGTTCAGACAATGAGCAGAGAATAGCAGCAGACAAGTGCAAACACGGACCTAGGACTGCCTGTGCTCCACAGCACTCCTCTAAGCCTAAACATCTGCAAAAACAAAAGACTTCGCTGGGCACGGACTTGCCATGCTCCCTTGGAACTTTTTTGTTAGCAGATAGCTGGTAGGCAAACTGGCAAAACATAAATGTGATACTCGTGATTTTCATTTCAAAAGCAAATGTGCAAATCAAGCGTGTAAGACAAGATACCCCAGGAAACCCCAGTGGTTCCCAGAGGAAAAAAATTATTGTTGCCACATGTTTCTTAAAACAGGAGAAATTTGTTATAACCCAAGAAATTTCAGCCCTGTTTCATGCAAGGTGATTTCTTTTCAGTATCGAGTGGCTCTTTCCTGGGAAAGCTACCTAGTTGGCTCCACACAGGTGGAGGTTGTTTCTTGTTTTGCTTTGAGGTTCTCTGTCTTGGGACAACTCCCTTAAAGTAGCCATAGAGAAAAATGAAATTAAATCACTTTTAAATGAGCTCAAAATATACTTTTAACTTTCTCTTAGATCTGTGACGCTGCTGACGTCGATAGATTACGTAGTTGTTCCATTACATGAAGATTTTCAGGCACTAAAATTTCTGTGTTCTGTTCACTGGAAACTGAAAATGTGTGCTCTCTGCATGGAGGGGATAACAAATACTCCAGAAAATATGAGATATTATTGAACCAAAATAAGCATTGCAATGTTATATTTTATAATATCTATGGAAGTTCCCATTTCTGAGCCACTGCAACAATGCATCACACAGTGCCATTGAGATTCTTAGTCAATGTAAAGAATGAAGGAAGGCTGAAATACTTTAGCAGTGTCTATCCGTAATGTTAAAATTAATACAGTGATGGATAAATTACACAGTAACTATGATTTAATGGAATATCACTCTGGCTCAACTTCTTATTTAAAGTCAGTGTTATGTGCTATCTGTAGGCTACATGCTCCTCTATACATTTTTGAGATTTATAGTACTTAGTCTGTTTTACATGAACTTTTCCAACTTTTCCACACTGAAAGCAGAATATAGCAATGAGGGAAAATACAGAAATCCAAAAGAATATAAAGAGGGTGTTCCAAGAGTTAGCTTTTTTTTTTGTCAACACCCCTCAAATAAATAACAATAGCTGAAGACTTTGCAGTCACTGGATATTACTCAGAAATATCCTTTTTTACCACCTGAAGTGCTATTGTATTCAGCTCAGCTTAAATGTTTGGTGGTTTCACTTTTTTAATAAATTGTACATGTCCAATCCACAAGGTCTCTTTGCATCATATCCATAATACCTCATCAGGCCATTGAGCACAGTGTGCGCTTGTACACAGTCCAGTAACAATTGGATTCTGATTGCATATGGAGCTCTGCTACAATGCATTCACTAACGCTATATTGTACTGGTGTCCTATGGAGTAATGTTCAAAATATCTCCTCTTATTTTCCCCCTTCCATGAGGCTGATTTTAGTTTGCAATGATGTTGGGGTTTTTTTCTTAAAAAAAAACAACAAAAAAACCCCTAGATCCTTTTCTTAAAGTACTAAAGCTGTCTCTTTATGCTTAAATAATTCTACTCATCTCTTTGATATTTATATGAAATTATCTGAATAAATAAGTCCTAATCAAAGTTAAATAATGTTTCTTTCAGAAATATCTTACAAGGTTTTAAAAAAATCACAAAGATGTTGAATTAATGATGCTTTAAATGGGGGGGGGGAAATAACCATCCGAGTTATCAGCATGGACTGCCTTGCAGAACATTTCGGAGGCATTCTTTCTTTAAATATCATGAATTATTCATTCATGTTCCACACAGCAATCTCTTCTTTCTCCCTCCCCCTCCACATACACTTCTTAAGTTCAATACCAGTTGCTTTATTTGTACTAAAACATTTTCCATGTCAAACATATTTTTAAAAAAATCAAACTCTAAAAGAATTCCCTGCGGCACTCCTTTTTCACAGCTGTCATGCTCCTATGGTTTGAAATAGCCAGATATTTTATACACACATACACGCGCACGCGCACACACACACAGAGTTTTTGGCTTCGCAGTAAGCTTATTAGTACCTCTACCACGCCCTGTGGTGTTCTTTACTCACCTGCTGTCTACGGTTCGTTCTTTTGTTACGGGAAAAATAATTTTATAGTTATGCCATTTATTTGTTATTAAAACATAATACCGTCCCTTTCCCCCCTCATTTTAACATGTTAAATTATGGCTAGTCCTGGTACGTTAGCAGTATCTTTGTGCTGAGAACAAAAATTAATAGTGTCTCAGCTCTGGAGTACTTTGCTGACACCAGGCAGTAAAAGCAGAGCAAAGGTACTTTTTTTCTCCCTTGAGGAAACTGAGCATGCAGGGAATGGACTGGTTTTAATTTTTAATTACAGAAGGTACGTATTTCCCCCTCTCGTTTTGTCAGTGCAAGAATGGATCAAGAAGCTTCTCAGTAGCTGTCTTGGAAAGAAATCAGTCAATGTATTGTAGCAATTTTTTTCAAATTTGTTTCTCAATTTGGAATGCTTGCATGAGGATCCTTTCTTTTAAATTTGTACAAAAGGCGTCAGAACATGTTTGAACAGGCCTGCTGTAGGTACCGGTGTGTGCTGGCCTTTGATAAACAGGAACGAGAAGAATGCCGGAAGAAGAAAATCTGTCATGTTTTGCAAACTGATCTCTTCAATCTCCTTGCTGTGCTGATTGTCTATTTACATTTGGCTGCTGTTGTTTATATATAAATCGGTGTTTACAAGCCGTGGAGAAGTATGCCAGACTTCTGTTTCATTTGTCAGGTTGAGCAACATTTCCAAATGAATAAAAGCAGCGAGCAATTGTACCACGCTATTCTACACAGAAATAATGTAAATGTTTCTTTTTGTCTTGGATGAAATGATGAAGCTTAGTGGAGTTTATTTATAGGATGTATGGACTGACTTTCCGGATCAAGGCTTTGTGAGCTGTGAGGAAAGAAGGACGTCTGGCTCTTGTGAGACTGAGGGTAGGGGGAAGGTGTTGCTTTATTACCCGTCTTCCCTAAAACACAATTGTAAGACACAAGCTGACTCTCCTCATCTGACTTACAAAGCTTTCAGCTTGGTGATGGTTTCCCAGTTTTGGGATTGTAACTTGAAACCTGTCTCTTCACGCATGGATCTCAAACTGCCCCTTGCACACTCTCCACGCGGAACCACAGAATAATACGAAAGCGAATTGGAAGAGATGTGAGCGATCACAAATTCCAGGGCCCTACCTTTCCAGGCCTAATGAGCGTGTCGAGGAAAGCGTACCTCTCCTCTGGGTGTTGTTGGGATACAGCAAGGATGCAGATGCCCCCTCCTGCAGTATTCCCACACGGGGCATGCATTTTGTTTGTGCAGCAGCATCAGGATTGAGGAAGATGTTAACAGAGACAACTGGCTAAGGCAACCTCTGTCCGATGACACTACATGAGTTCTGCCTTTGTTCTGAGCAGAGTTTGACAGAACACTGCTCTACAGCCATCCTCATGTCGCAGCAAAATCAGTTGCCCCAACAATTGTCTGCAGGTAAAGAACTTCAGTGCAAAATCCCAGTTGAAAATATTCAGCTACCTACTACCACTTCCAGCTCTTACCTCAACATTTAGGAGTGAGGCACGTATGGATTGCTACAACAAATCCTGAGGTTACGAATTCTTTGTTCAAACCAGTAAAACCCAGCAGAGAACACATGACAGACTTTCACTCAGTCCTGGGGAATTTCCATTAGAAACAAGACTCATGCAGCACCTCTGCCATGCAAAGATACATGGCCAACTCAGTACACAGTTGATTTGATGTACGCTTTCTGTTCTCACCTGCCAAGAGGAACAGCAGCCTACGGAAAATAGAGTACTGTGCTATGTAAAATTTAAACCACCTTACAGCTTTAGGAAAAACTTCTAAAAGGCCTGTTCCAAATGGAAACTGCAATGATGGGTACCAGTGGAATCCAGTAGATCCAAGATGATGTTAGTTATGTGGATTAGCTACTGTAATCAAGGATTTTAATTAGTCTTATCACAAATATCTCACACTGTTGGAATGTTCTGAGGTCCAGCCAGATGACAATAAGCCTGAGTTTTGTTTGCCGTGCTTTACCTAATTTTACTTTCATTGATTTCAAAGGAGTCACAGTTGATTTGCCCCAATACAAGTAGGAACAGAACCAGGCCAAAGTGTTAGCTCCATTTCTCACCCTTTTCGCCACCAGCCTGGGAAAACAGTCTCCATTTTCACGTTTCATTGTATTGCTAGCATAGCAAAATCGCTCATAAAATATTTTTGTGTATAAAGCAAAATGACCTAGGTAGGCACACCGGAGTTGTTTCTTAGCCATTCTAATAACGTTTTTTATATATTTTATGTATGAAATATGAAGAAATGCTTTGAAAATACACTGCAGCATATGACTTTACAAACCCTTTTATATAGAGGTATACAAGCTCCATACCTCAATGTCTCTATTTTCAACAATCTTTTTCAGGGTTGCTTTCCACATCTGGTAAAGAACTGATGTAATACAAAATGTTTGCAGAAGACTATCAACCAAAAGTGATCATTCGTTTCCAAGTCACATGGACTGCCGTTATGCAGCCAGCATGGAGAGCAGCCCTCCCAGTCTCTGCTCAGAGCAAACCATAGCTCTGTTTGAGCTCTGCTCAATGTATGGTCTGGCTCCTGCCCAGTGTTGCTTTATATCTTTACTCTGTTGTCATCCTACTTCTCCATTCCCTCTTAGCCACAGAACTTGAAGGAAGTAATACTTTAGGCACTGCAAGATGGAGAAGGGAACCGTCTTCTCCTCTTGACCCAGGGCACTAATGGGGACATGCTAATCACATTCAAGGATACTCCAGCCCACTGACTTTTCCTGGATGCATGTGGATGGTCAAGTGAAGGAAAATTTGCACTGGGAGAGGAGGTATAATGTTACTTATGTTACCCACCAGTTCCAAGTGTAAGTATAGTGGTCACAGTCAGAAAGCCAGCACAGTTACTTTGCTGTACTTGGAATGCAAAATAATTATATTAACGGTGTAGCATCTCTGGGCAAGTATTAGCTTCCTAACAGCTGCCACTCTCAGCTTCCCACTGGAATAAGTGGCAACCCCCACAACCAGGTACTCTACGAGGCTCGTCAAGCGCCTGCAGGTCAATAGTCACAACAGTCATTTGAGATGCACAGCGCCCTAAAGTTTTAATTAATCCAGTATACAGTATAAATACTGAAATATGTATAAAAAATTAATTAGGTGGTCTATGCAGCTCTGATTTCTCAATTAGTACTTACCATGCCGGAAAATTATATTACATGACTTTGAGATACATAAGGAAGCATGGGACTTTGGGGATTTTTTTTCTAATGTAATTATTACTTGTCATCAGCACTTGCTAACTTTGGCCTGTTTCAGCTTCTAGAGCTACAAAATATGGGGGCAGGGCTACAGCCACCTCATGCTAGGCAGTAGGAAACTCTGTTCTCTCAGGTTTTAATACAAATCATAGCTGTATATCAGCAATACCTCGAGTTCTCTATTCATAATGACTTTCTGAGCTCAGTTCAGGAGCAGCTAAGGCATGTGCTGGAAGGGCCTCAGACCCTAATAAATTCTCCTCTTTTCTATAGGTCCTTCCACTGAGGGCATGACCTAGTGTAGTTTGTTATAGGAATACCATTTTCTTACTTCAAGGCATAGAGTTTATGTGCAGATTTGCAACAATACTCGGTAACTGTCATCTTGGCATTGAACTAAACAGCATGAAATCGATTCCCACTAAGCCCACGAAGATATATCTGCACAGCCATGTGCACATAATCATACCCCAGCTTGTGCACCAAGGCAGGACTTCTCATCTTGGCTGCACTGTCACATGAACACTTACATGCCGCTTCCAAGTCGGAGATAGCTTATACCTAGACCATTTTGCACGCAAAGGAAATTGAGCGACTGTGTGCGCACAATATTCCATATTCCCTAAATGACACAGTCAGTTTGAAAAGTACTCAGTTCCCACAGCTCCTATTATTGAAATCCCTCTTACTGTATTTTCTGAATGTCAGGGAAAACTGGCGCTGTCAAAGCTTAGTCTTGCCTACATCAAACTAGAGTAAAATGAAACAGAAACGAAACAGGCAACCAAAAAGAAAACTGTAAGAACCTGAAGGTTAACCCATCTCCTATCTTTCCTCAGAAGTATGAGCGAGTCTAAACTGACAGTTCTAGAGGTGAAAGTTTCATTTCTCACAAAAGTAGAAGGGTACAGGTAGTAGCAGTCAAGTTCATAAATAATCCTCCAAAACGACTTTGAAGAACCCTCTCTATGAAAGAGTCTCTATGAAGGAGTGTAGCTTAATCTCCAGTTTCATTAATTCCTTAACTACTGTGCCGAGAGTGCCAAAAATAGGAATTAATCAATACCAAGTGTAGTTACAGTGTTTTTCTTATCATGATATCTCTCCAACAGAAACTACTAACCTGCCCAGCTACCTTTGCCACATACACTGCAGAATTTAATAAATATATTAAATATATAAATATTCTTATTTCTTGCAAGCCACTGTATACAATCACGTCATTGTGACTTCTGGTACTTACTAACATCAGCTGGATATAAACCAACATACCAGCAAAAGGCTTAGCTGTATTCTGAGATCACTAGGCCTTGATTTCTGCCTGCGCTTCAATCTTTTAACATTTGCTATGGATCTCTTTTTCTGCATTCTGTCAAGTAAAAAAAAATGCCCTAAAGCCGTATCACCTTCTGCTCTGAGGTCAATAGGATCAGCAGTAAAGCAGTATAAGCTCGATAAAGTGTTAGGATAGGAACTGTAAGGAACACTTTAGAATAAGTGCAGAAATCTGTTCTTGTGCAGGAAATCATGCCAGTACTCTTCTTCCCGAGTCATTATTGTACCAAGTAGCCTACAGAGCCAAAATTAACACAATGTGATTTGACATACCACCTTTCAGGGGGAAGCACAACATTAATAGTCGCTGTTCAAAAAGCATCTCAGATTAAAATGGGAAAAGCAAGGAAACTAAAGCACATGCTTTCTCTTGTCTGTAAGAAGAAAGGTATTAGTCAGGGTGTCGTAGACAATTTCCACAACTGGCAGCTCATGTCTTTGGAGACAAAATATTCTTCACTTTGGTCCCCAACTGTTGTGAGGTGGTGATGTGTGTGAACAACCATCATCCTGTCCCATCTAGAGCTAGCTGCCTTTCAGACCTCCATTAACTGGTTCCTGCATACAGTGTGCCGGTTTGTCAAATTGGAAAAGAACTTCGGTATTTCTAAACTTGAAAATAAGATAATAACTGGACAAAGATTCTGTGTTTAAAGAGGAAGAAGTGAGTGGGACAAACGGAAATGCTTGCTGAAATCCTGCTTGGCTTCACTTCATCTAACGCTAAGTAAACTTGCTAGAAAAGAATTTAATTTCAACCTGGCTTTTAATTAGTATGCTGTTTACATCATCTATTATGAGGCTTTACTTTGGATTTGACCCTGCTCCTGCTGCAGTCAACAGCAAAAACACCACTAACATCAGTGGGAGCAGGATCAATGCTTTACTTTGTACATTTCATATTTAATGTCAAAAAAAGAAACGGGTATTTATGTTTTGTAGTTATTAGTTATCAGGTTAATAGGCTAAAGGCAGCTTAAGAGGGAATACTATTAATGAGCAAAATAAGGTTGCTGCTTCTGGACTGAGGTCACTTACAAAGAATGTACAAACGAAAATAAGGTTAACTTTTATTTACTTAACTATCTTCCTACATTGAATTCCTTTGGCAACGTGTCTTTAAACATTTAAAGCTCTGTTTACAAGGAGGCTCTGAAAGTAGCTTCAAACCATTATATCCCTAATTGAATTCCCCAGGAGTCCTGTAAACCCGGAGGAAAAAAGAAAGAAATCGTAACATTTGCTAAATCATCTCAAAACATATTTCACTGCAAGGTTATGTGACCTGTTACAAGTCTGAATGATGACTGGGATTGAACTACTGAAACCTTTTATTATTCAGATTGAAATCAAACAAAAAGTTGCCCATTTGAAGCCTGCTAATTAAATTATACTTCCTCTGACTTTTACCACTAATTAGGAGTAAGAATTTTGGCACAAAAGACAAGTATACTGAAGATAACAGAATTAATTAAAGATACACAGCTTTTGTATAATGACACGGGGCAGAGTAGATGCAAATTACGAGATGAGTGGGCAAATATATTTAGAGCAAATTATTTTGTGGGAAATAAAGGTTAAAAAAATCATTGTGTTCAATAACCAATATTCCATCCACCTCCTTCAAACCAGATTTTTTTTTTCAAGTGGAGTTGCAAAACTCCACATTATTTCCAGCCAGCTATGCCTGTTGTGTAACATCATTGATATGAGACAGATCACACAAGAAGCTACAGTTAATTTCTTAAAATGTTAAATATCTTCACATCCCTGTCAGCTTACCTGGCTTGTAAGTTATTCCTGGGGGGAAGAGGAATCCCTGCTGGGCTGCAGCAGCCGCTGCCAGCGTCCGCTGGTCGTGTGGAAAAATTGGGATCATGAGCGGAGGCATGTGACCCTGAACCTGCTAAACAGAAGAAAGCCTCTGATCAGAAATAGCACAAATTTGTCTTGACAGGTATTTCTCCAGTACTGATAGTGTTCTTGTGTTCACACAGTCCCACAGAACCTTCGCCTTAATGTAATCCCTGCCAATTTCACATTAACACATCAAAGCCCTCACTAACATTGTTTTCCTTCAGTGTCAAAGGTGTGACGGTCTCAGTGAACTGCACGTTTTCCTACTTTTTCTTGGTTGTCTATTTTTTTTTTTTAATTAATATTCCCTGTCCTGGCACAAGGTAAAAAGGTACAAAACCTTTGTAACATACCATAGGTTCTTTAAAAAGAGTAGTAGTACGTAGTTCTATTAATTTTTCACAAGTTTTCTCATCTTTGGTCACAGACAGCAGAGTGACAAGCATTTTAGAAGTAAGCTAACACTGCAGTAGCTACTTTGATGTTCAAATTTTAGTATCCTTAGGGTAATTTTAATTCTGAGATCTTACAACATTGTATTGTTCATATATATACCAACAATTCAGGTATGTTATTTCAAAATCTCAACACAGTATTAAATAGTCTTCTAGTCAACACCCCAGCTCTTAAGATTTAAGGCTCCAACATCTTGGCTCCCAATTAAACTAACATCCTTTGCCATACACACCTCACTATAACATATAAATTGCTTGTCTGTCTAAGCAGTTTTATAGCTTTATGCACTATCATGTAGCTTGGTAATTATGGAGCTGTATTCAGAGACCATTTCAGAATAAAACATACTATATCAAATTTAATTTGACCTTAATAAATGTATCAAAAAGCACAAACATGCAAAAGCAAAAAAAATTCTTCACCTTATACCAGCATTTGTATTCAACATATAGATAAATGGGATATGGGATAGAATCGTGTCTGTTACATCCACATGTTAATTTTCTAGTTCCTTAATTTATGCTACATGTGTTTCAGAGACAGTGGCTAGGATCACAAAGAGGTTTTATCCATCATTCCTTAACCCCAGAAGTACCCAAGAGTTTGACTATGATTTTTCTGATTAGTAGTTAAGCAAACATATAATGGTTTATATATCAAAGCTAGTAAATGTAGGAAGAAATTGGGTTTTTAGGCAGAGAAGAAATGTTGCCCTCCTCCTACTATAAATCGGTGGCATTAAATACTATTAAAAAGTTAAAGCACACTTCAAGCAATTTTTTTTCCATTTAATTCCTAAAAAACTTTTTTTTGTCAAATCCCATATGTTGACCTATGACATTGTTTAAATAGTGCCAAATTTTCTTGTCATATCCCCGTTACTTTCACAACCATTGATGCAGTGCAGAAATGCTACTGTGTGTGTCTATGAGGGTTAATTTACCAACAACTCTTCTCTTGGGAAACCTCAAAGATGTAGGTTAATAAAGGTCAAGCAAAAAATAAACACTTTACAGTATTTTTTAAATCCATTTCTCAGGAAAATCAACTTATAATAAAAAGGTCTTTGTGCAATTACTGCCATGGCAGTGGGGCGTGAAAGAAACTAGCTTTGAGCAGCTATTTCTCTCATTTTAGCTGAGGTAAGCCTGGCTATGCATTTTAGGATATGAGTTAAACTTGGTTAGATTGAAGTTGATCCCCATGTGCCCAGCACTGGCATTTACCTCTGAAAAAATGGTGCTAGACTTCTGTGTGGTGTTCCTCTCTACTGGCTCTACAGGAGTACAGCAAATGAAAACCACAGGCTTTGTCTGATAGAAACTACTATAGGATATATTGGAAGGAATTCAACACAATACAGTCTGCAATTATTTTCAGTACTTCCCAATTACAATCTAATCAAATGGAGCCAAGGCTTAAGAAATATCCCTTTCAATCACCCCGCACAGAAAGTATTTCCGTGGGGTTGCAAAGGTACAAGACACCACCACAATCTCACAAGACACGGAAGAGCTCAGAGTGAGTACTGTGGTTAGGGCGATGACGCATACATACCCATAGCAATACTTTGCACGACAGTATCATAAAAATAACTTGAAATGTCTAATAATCAAATCCTACAACGGGTATTTCCCAGTGCAATCCAGTAGAGTTGTATCCACTCCACCATATCCAAAAAGATTTTTTTAAAACTCTCAAATAAATGCAATTCTGTAAATGTGGAGAACAACCATTGCATGTTCTGGCTATCTGCTATTCTTCCTTGAAATACTACTCTGAATGCTGGATCAGTCCCTCAGCTTACATAAATCAATATAACTTTGGCTAAAGGTGGATTACACTTAGGATATAAGTTTGAGTTTACACTTAAGAGAGTTATATGGACTGAAAAAAGCCTATAGCGAGTGGCAACCATTCCCTTCCATGAGTCTTCCCTCTGGCACATGTTAAATACTATTCCTAGGCATATGTTGGTTTCGCCCAGAATTATTATATATGTAGGTGTTGATTTTTATCAGAGGTCATCTGAAAAGCACAAATAAGCATTAAAAAGGAAGAGAATATACAAGTATCACTGATCACCGAATTATTAAAGATGTAAAGTTAATGCCAAAAAAATAGTAGACACCTTGATTTTTGACAATTTTTTTTCCTGAGAGTTTTATTATTATTATTCATTTGATTTTGCTGAGGGGGGAGAAATTGGGAGGGGTTAATTGGTGTACTTCATAAAATCAGCTACATGCCCAGAAATTTTAATTGCTGAGATGTTCCTCAGGTCTTTCTGAAAACCAAGACTGTATCAGATGCCTGAGAAACACTCCGATTCTGTCTCTTCCCATTCGTAAAAATAGAGTATTGTTGGATCGGCACTTTCCCCTTTTGTCTCCTCTGTGCTAAGTTGTTGATGATGCCATTTTTTGCCATCTGCCCCAGAGCTTCATTAAAGATACATGAATGGACTAACTGGGCTGCTATCTTGTGAGGAACAGGTGCTATTGTTTGTCCCCGAAGACTTGCACTAAAGATCTCACTCAGAATACTTGAGAAAGAGCATCTGCAGCAGTCAGTCAGAGAGTAACTTGGCAGAGCCCGTACTATGGGCTAATATGCAAACAGTGACACTCAGGGGGACTCATTTTCTCTTTCATGAAGATTATTTATTTTTTTTGTGACGGGTATTAAATGTTTCGTTTTGAACAACTCTGCCTGTATCTTTATAGGCAGAAGTCTATGAAGTCTGTATCTTTAACTGAACTGTACAAACCCTGGAGGAGACCTCAGTATATTCTTTCCAAAATCCAGTTTGGCAACCTCAAGTAAAATCCTCTCTTACATAAGGCTATCTCATAAAATTAGTCTCTCTTTCTATACAACGAGCTCAGGTTTAACTGTGTTAAACATGAGAAGCTACCAAGATTAGGGAACTCTTAAAAGGTAGTGTACCATTCCTTTAATATCCCATCACAACTCTGACGGCCCTTGGGAACTGATTACAGCACTTCCTTGCCTGAGATCTAAGTCAGGAAGCAACTTTAGAGCAAATCAGCCCTGATTAGTTCAAGAAGCAACTTCCAATTTGATTCTCCCTGAAATAATGAAAGCTGGTGGCCCGTTTGATAAGCTGGGCAAATCTGCAGCGCTTTGTCCCACGGCCATGTGAATGCTAATCTCAGAAGCTGGCTGGACAATCCTCCTTGTTAGAAAGTCATTGATGGTTAGCGTTGCGCGTGGAAAAATGGAAGCCAAAGTGGCATGTCATACAAAAATAATGCTTGGAATGAAAATGATCTGTGTCTTTGGAATAAGGAACACAGCACATTTAGTGAGACTAAGGAATAGGAAGGGTTCTATCTTTAAAATCCAAAGCTGCCTCCACAACAAATCTCGCAGCTAGAGAAGTAAAGGCATTCAGAGAAAAGGATGGCAGCAGTGCAAGCAAAAAGGCAGCTCACACATTTCTGCTTAGCTGTGAGGATCACAGGCTTCAAGAGCAGAAGTAAATCCCACCCTATAATGGCAGCTGAATTCCTTGCAAACTTTTCAAGATCAAACGTGACACGTTGCCTCTCTGTTGTGCGGTTTACTTCAGTAAAGGCAGGAATTAAGTGCCATCTTTTTGAGAAGGGGTAAGCACAATCTTTATAATATTTTATCCCTTTCTTCCAGCTTTTTTTTTAATTACAACAAGCACTAGCATAAACCAGTGTGATAGGCTAAATACGCTCTAATTTCCTAGACTAATCCAACATCACTATTTAAAGCCATTGCCCCCCACTTCTTCCACCAGTAAAATCTCTGTCTCAACTTCTAGAAATCCTGAGATTTGCATTGAGTCTAACAGACCACTCCAACGCATGTTAGCTGAGAAGCCAGTCTTTGAAATTTACTGAACAGACTTTTTTTTCTTTAGTATAGGATGTACAATACCTCTTGTCCTTGTGATGTTGTACCTCTGTGAGAACCTAATTCTTTCACAGGCAGGTTTAAACTTTTCATAGTTTAAACTTGAATTTCTACCTATGATTTTTTAAATCCTTACAGCTAGACTACAACTTTAATCTGTCTATGCAGCCATTAAGCTTTTAATTTCCGTAGTAAAAAAGTGTTTGAAATTTTATATTCTCTCATTGAAAAACTGCAGTGAAATAGAAGAGTTTCCCAGGTAATGGCAGTGTATCAATTAAGAATGTGCATTTTCAGAATGCTCAAAATACGTGTTGATAGGCTAGAACGTAATGTCTATAACTGATAGCTCAACAGGTTACATTTTAGGTTCATTAATTTTAAAAATCTTAATGGCACTGCAAGCAGTGTTTGTGTCCCCAGTACTACTAGTGCAAGTTTTTAAACACCCTGCATATTATATGTTTTACCTCATCTGCATTTTAAATAGTCTGTATATCATACATGGTACTATTATTTTATACCGTCATTGGAAGTTTATTTATTTCAATATCTAGGGTTGGATGTTGTTGTTTTTGTAAGAGAAGAAATATAAGAAGTTCTGTTAATTTGAATTTTATTTTGATTAGGTCATTTTGGTGACTCTGCAAGAAAGCAAACACCATGTTGCATAAAGAAGTA